CCCTTCCCACCGGCAAGGGGAGGACGAGGGCCCAGAAGAACTCGGCTGGTGAGACAAACCCGCCAAGAAAATAGGGATTCTGGCCGGCGGCCAGAGGGGAAGTAAGAGGTACCAAGACTGTAGGTCTGGAAAACCCCTGCTCAGCTTTGTTCCTGTTCGTCCTCCTGTGGCTGTGGCTTCGCGTCTTTCATCTCCAGCGCGTCCATGATCTCCTCCCAATGCGCGACTTTCACTTTCTCTTCCCAGGTCGAAATGGCCTTATCCCCGAGCCCCCGCAGTCGCTCCTCCGGTTTCAATTCCTCAGAGGTACCATCTAAACCGGCGAATACGGTCTGCACATCCAATTCCCGGATGGCGGCCTGGTAGAGCTTGAGGACCTTCTCCCTCTTCTCCAGTCTGCTTTTCACCGCCTCCTCGCTCTCCGTTGAGGATGATGACGCGCCGCCGCGCACAGCACCAGGCTTCTTGATCACCGCCGACGAGGCACGACTCTCGTACCCCCGGATCACGCCCTCGAGAATGCCGAGGATTGTCCCCGCGCGCATGCCCAGTTGGGCACCCACGGGGAAGCCCGCGTCAAAGCCGGATTGCACGTGTTCGGTTTTCGAGGCGGAGACGCCGTCACGATAGCCCGCTGTTACATGTTGGCGGCGGAGGGAGGGCAGTTCGGAGGGTTCAGATTGCGCTGTGGTGGCGATTGTGTGGGTTGGCGTGTCGTCGTGGGGTGGGGAGCCGAAGATGTCGTCGAGGCTGTTGTTGTTGTTGGTGTTGGGGGAGGTCATTGTTGTGGTTTGTAAAAGTCGTAGGTTTCTAGAGGGATATATTGCGGTGTATTGACCGTAGAGATTGTGGTAATGGGTGTATGTTATGATGTTGTAGAGAGGTGTAGAAAGAAAAATTGGAGAAGCAAAACTGGAGTTAGTAATTCAGTGGAGGGGCAGCCTTATCTTATCGCAGGGTTTTAGATCAGATCTCTATACAAATTTATTTCAAGCATCACACCACTGCCATACTACTTACTCTACCTACTGATATTTTAAGATAGCTACCGTAATTCCAATCAGTGAACAAACCGAAAATCCAACCTCTTGACCCCCTCATCCGTCGTGGTAAGTAAATAATCACTCTTCTCCTCCTCCGACATGGACTGCCACTTCCTCTCCCTCGTTCGGTTCCTCCAAACGTAGTACGCCTTAACCGCATAGAACAAAACGACATTGAACGAGCAAATTGCGAGTAGAATCTTATTCCCCCGGCGATACAGTGGACTATCATCTTCCCGAAAGATGTTACTCCCGATGATATTCCCGCCCTGCACGCACATATTGTACAGCGCGGCGCCGACGGCGCGCGTGCGTACGGTGTTGCTGATGCGGGCGTTCCAGCCGACGAGGATCGCGTGGCAGTATGGATAACTGAGCAGGACAGTGCTGATGGCGTAGCGGATCCAGGTGCTGGTGGATTCGGGGAGGGCGACCAGGGCGATCAGGCAGGGAAGGATCCAGATGTTGGAGGTGGAGGCGACGATGGCGCGCTCGTTGAGTTTGTCTGAGATGCGGGTGATGATGAGGAGGTTGACAGCGAACATGAATTGCGAAGGGATGGCGAGGAGGTTGGCCTGGAAGGTGGAAAAGCCTAGTCGCCGCAGGATGTAGGAGAGATAGTTTGCGTGAGGTTGCGGTGGGATATAGATGAGGAGGCCCAGCAGGTAGAGGGGCCAGAGGTCGAAGTCTTTCAGGCACTTGATGAGTGCGATTGGGCCAACTGCTTGTCTGTTTGGTGGATGACTGAGTTAGAGATGGGTGGTTGTTCAATGGAGCTTTGGAGACGGACCTGTTATTCATGTCGCCTTTGGACGGGTCGTCGCGCAGAAGTCGGTTCACGAGGATGAGCTCCTCGCGCTCGTTGAACCAACCGTCTTTGCCTCGGAACCAGCTTTGTGTTTGGCAGGGGCCTGGGGGCATAAGGCCCCAGGATAGGATGCCAATAATAGCAGTGACTAATCCTTCGATGAGGAACCTGCGCGGGTGTTAGTCCAGATAAAAAGAAGTGGAGAGGTGTATTTACAGCCATTGCCAACCACTCCATCCTCGAAGTCCACGCATCTGCAAGATGCCGGCGGCAAGGAGGGATCCAACGATATTGCAAGTACTGGCCGGGTTAGCATGGTTGTGTTCTGTTCTTGGAGCTGTGGCTTACCTGAGCGCCGTCCAAAACCAGCTGAGACGAATGGGTAGTTCTCGTCCTTTCTGTTCCGCGTTAATATTACCTTAACACTAAGGCAAGTTAGGTACTTACATAGAAGTAAGATAGCCATAGGACTATGTCACTATAGAGAACGTTAGATAGATACTCAGCAAACCCTATCTATAGACTTACGGTATAAAACCACCCATCAGAAGTCCAAGAAGGGCTCGACAGGCAAAGAAGCCGGCTCTGCTTGAAAGGGCAGCCTGTGCAGCACTGATGGTTGACCAACATACAATAATAAAGGGTATCCATCTATCTGGCCCGACCTTCTTACTGATCAGACCGCTTGGAAGCTCTGCTGCGAGGAAGGATACCAGAAAGATCTGCCATTGTCAGCAACTATCGGCAACCCTTGGTGAGAGGTAAGCATACAGTTTGTCCATAGTTGAAATCATTTGTGTTCATGCCTAGTTCAGGGAGCTAGTATTGGTTAGCTAGCAGACTACCAGCTTGAGGCACTTTCACTCACCATGTCATCTGTGATTGCCCTGTTGATATTTCTCCGGTTGAGATCCAGTGAGCAGAACATTAACCACGCCCAGAACATAATCCGCAGATCAACCTATATGATGTTAACCAATGTACAACCAGACAGAAACACAGACAAGAGAATAAGGTGAGGTGAGCAAACCTTTCGGATCAATTTTTTCTCCTCCTTAGGAGTCCAGGTGAAGGAAGGATCAAAGCGATGACGACCCTCATATTGGGCTTTCTCATACACATTGGCCCAATATTCAGCAGCGTCTGAATCATCAAAAATATGGTTCCGAGTTCCTTGAAACCCGTCCGAACTCTTAGTTTCAGACTCGTGACTGAAGAAGCCCTTCCCCATTGTATTAACCAACAGCGAAAACGATGGCGGATTGATTATTAGTCCAATATACCAACCCAGATATTCTGGTGAAAGCTTCAGTATCTTCGAGTATGGTCATGCTGCTCATGAGTATCAATCTTCCATTTATATGTTCACGATAAGAGCTCCGAGATACATCCCGCACACGATTGCAACAATAGGCCAAGGATTGTATCATACGGCCAAGCGGCATTAGCCATTGGCCAAGACAACATGATAGCCTTTACTTGCACCACTCTGCAGAGGCTAGACACGCATCTTCAGGGTGTTATCTCGCATATGCGTATTGGAAATCGAGGCCAAGTATATCGAGCTATTGTGGGCATGGTTCCAGTCAATCAACGTTCAAGCCGATCAACATAAAGTTCACGAACATCGCTAAACCCCTCATCAGTATACATCAGGATAAATCTCAATGCAATAGCCGAGCTGAGGAAAGAGTTTGATTAGTATTTCCAGATGTGACTGTCGTTTGGCTTGCCTAGTTTATACTAGCGATCATTCGGCTTGTGGGATACGCGGCGTATGTTGAGAAATTTTTGTGAGCCAGGTCCAAAAATACTGGCTATAGCACTCTCACTCTTTACCCCGGAGAGGCCTTTGGCAGTATTTTATACAAACATAAGCCGATAGCGCTCAATGAAAGGAAGATGTTTCATCGAAATAACGGGTTTACCAAACGGGTGTAGCGATAGTTCGTGTCTTGCAATAGACCCAAAAAGTGCGACGATGTAGCTGCAATATCAAAGACTAGCGTTCAGTATAGAACATCTTAGAAGCCGTGCTCACTTGTGTAGAGTAGTAGGACCTATGTAATTAGTGTGTACAAGTATGATGAAGATATATGATGTTAATGATATTCAATTCTGACTACATGTCTCATGAGCTCATCGACGGCAGCACTCATCTCGTGACCATATGGAGCCTGAAAGCGTAGCCTGAGGTGTCTGCGCGTTCAAAAGGTTATAGGGATTTTCAGAGGAATTTTTATATGAATCAAAGGAACACTTTGAACTGACTCGGAGCAGTATATCTGTATTAGTCGTGGCGTGGGCGAATTTTATGTGCTGGGCTCTCCTTTGTACAGTGCCTCAGACACGGAGTACCTTCAACCACCTCTGCCTCACAAACAAGACCATATAATCCAGAGAATAGAGAATAAAGGTCTAATGAAAGAGGAAAAAAAATCAAACAACAAGATTCAATAATATCAAAAATCAGATTGACAAAAAGCTCACCCTCCGTCCCCGGCGCCGAACGCGTTTTAGCACCGGCGTCTTAGGGAGGGCTACGAAAACCCCGTAGGATTTTACTAGTGGAGTCCCAGGGCGAGGAATGACGGATTCGAACCGCTGATCTACTCGAGCCTAGGACTTTGGGGGGCCGGACTCAGCGAGGCCTAAGCTTTCCGCTCGACTATCGGGCCCCCCGTCACTGGTACTGTTAGACACCTAAAACATCTGTTCACTATGATTACAGAATGGTGCCTGGAGGAAGAGGCAGGTGCGAGGGCCTCGTAGGTCAGGCAGCAGGGTGGCATGCCTGGGAACAGTGGATGGTCATGGTAATCATGATGTCAGGCCGGGTACCTGCTGAGAGACCGACGAGGAAGGCGCCAGGGGACTGTCTGTCTTGGGTATTAAGTGTTTGTCTGATGCAGACAAGTTTTATTGCATTCACCTGGATGAGTTCCAGGGGCTTCCTATGACGTTTAAGTGGAACAGGCATGGAAATTCGTCAGACTCGCCGCGATGCTAGGATGTTGAAAGTACCCTGTGGTTGGATTGGCTCTTCACTTGAGGCGAAAGACATGCGTGGGGGCATAACAGATAAGGTTGAAAGTGTTACTCCAGCACATATGCAAGGCACTGACTGGTCTCCGTCTGTTGGCACAGAATTATCAATGCCAATACCCTTCGAGGACAACCTGAGTGGAGTATACGCCAGCTATAAGCCAACGCATAGTCAAAAACGGAGCACATGTTCACTAAGAACAAGTTAACGATACTTGCGCTCTTCACTTGCTAGGGGTAACAGGTATTGCTCATGGTGGGAAGGCATCATAATCAACAGATCGGCCCATATCGCATTCAAATCGCTATTCAGAGGTTTCTCATGAAGCCCGTGGTGCCAGTCTCAGGTGCTTGACAAGCAAATTTGTTGGACGGATAGTAGCACATTGGTGGGATATTTGATTCTCATCTCCAAGATCCATGAGCGTGGGAAGTATCCCTGGCATCGCGGTTGTGTATATAACGGAGTGGTCTTAATCCATCAAACAGCTGTCGATTTTGGGTGAATGATTGAGCCTTGGGTGCTACATGGCAGGTCTGTGACTCCATGCTTCATTATCTCGATTCTATCAGGTGTTCGAACTCCATTCTAATACCCATTAGCTCTTGACAAGAGCATTAACCTCGCCAAGGAAAGCCGGGTCGCTGTGCGGTATTTAACATCGCTATTGGTTTGCTCGTAAAGCGTATCCTCGCGCTAGAATTGTGGGGTCTGCGCTTTCGGGGTGTCATTTGGCCTGGGCCTTTTAGCTCTCCCCGATGATCACTACTAGTATCAATTTGCGCGATTTCCCACATCAAAAGCAACCACTTGGGTCACTGAGCGTTCTCGGTAAGTGTCTGGAACTCATTGGATATAACACCAAATGATCCGAAATATTTCCGGTGCAAATCAAAATGTCTCAAAATACAACAGGAAGCTCCTCTGTTCTGGCTACGTGTGACAGTCAGAAACATGGCTGCAGGGATTGTGGAGCCGCCAAAATTTAGCTTCTTGGGTGCTATACATAGTGGAGACGGCGTGCAGTCGGGGTAACAAAAAATTAGCCGTTGCCAGCCAGACCAGGCCTGGTGCCCCCGTTGCTACGTAAAAGCTCTTTTATGCTTACAATCTGGCATTATAAATGGAGCGTATGAGAGGGCTGAGAAGCATCATGTGACGCCCTGGCCCCATGACGGGTCGGCATGACCCGGTGATCGTCTTCCACATTTATATAAAGCTATGCCCAGGCCTGCCAGCCTCTCCTCTTAGAGGATGTAAACAACCGTAAACCCAGCCTCTAGCTGACCACGACGTCCATACCATCCGATCCAAAATGGCAAGACGATCACCAACCGCCTCCTCTCCACACTAGTAATACCCCCCTTACTCGTGGGCTACGGCACGCATGTCTGGTTAAACTCACTGGAAGCAAGATATCCCCCTATTGCTCCAGATAGATCCAGTACCGAGCTTCTCCGTACACCAGCCAACTCAGCAACTCAACATGTCCCCCACATCGACATCTACGCCGCCCGGATCCGCCTCGGCGACCTCCAAGCACGGACCAACAACCCCACAGAAAAGCCCACGAAACAAGACCTGAACACCGCCTGGGCGCAATCACTGCTAAGCTGCAGTGGACTTCGTCTAGAGGGAAAGCTGATCGGACTCTTCCGCAAGTGTAAATTCGACCCAGGCGACCTGGGCACCACGACGGCAGGATTCAGTCCTGATCCAGAAACGGGAGCCCCGCGCGAGCTTCTGAATGGGGTTATGACTGTTCTTCGACAGCCAGTGGGCGACGAGCCTTTATTAACGAAGTGGGAGATTTCGGATGGGCCAAGGCGGTTCTTTGAGGTGATCTCTCGTTGGGGGTATCCGTGGCGCTTGATGACGGGTGGACGGCATGAGATGAGTGTAGAGGGGCCGTTTGATGGCGAAGGGGATGAGGAGGGTCTAGGGCCATTCGTGGAGGTGCGCTTCGCTTCGGCGCACACGTATGAGATTGTGCCTGAGGAGGGAAGTCTTTCACAGCAGAAGACTATTCCGAAATGGGTTGCAAGGTTGCATTGTGGGTATGCGAGGTTTCTATTGGATACTGCTGTGAAGGAGTTGGTGGAGGGGATGGAATGATGGGTTTAATTGTGCCAGTCTGGCAACGCTTGATGTGATACTACGTTTTATGTTTGGGCTGCTTTGTATCTATATGTGCTGCATTTGAGCGTATAGAGGTAGATCTTGTATGGGCGTCATAGAATTGCGCGCACAAGCAGGCGAAGACTTTTAGAATTCCATGATTAATGGCCTCCCAACTGCGATGTGTGGAAGTTTACCATAGAGAAATTAGTATTTATCGTGTGAATGGTAGGGTATATCTGGCCAACATTCGGTAGTGTAGCATGGCGAAAGAGTATGAGTTTCCTACTTCTAGCACTCAGGAATTATCGAGCATCTTCTATAGAGGTGAACATGTAGTTCCAATTGTCACTTTTTAGCACTATTAATAGAAACAGATGATTTATTTTGAATTATCACCGAATTCAAGGTCAGAGTGATGTATTTCGAGGATGTTGTCATAGTAAGCTAGATTCTGACATGGCCGTCCAGGAATAAATATTACCTGTGATCTTTCAAGGCAGCTCAAGCCCCAACCGTGTGAATATACCCAGAGGGGAATACTGGGGAGTAAAAATAATATTCAAAGGAGGAAATTTCTCCTAATCTATTCCCTCTTCAACTACTTCATCATTCGAATATTCATCTAGGCACGGAGTTGCGTGACAGTCCTATTCACAGCCCTAAGTCACTATCGAGTAAGTGTGAGGTATAAAGGCACAGACTTCTCCAGAAAGAATATCCCACATATCCAACTTCAACCACGAACATCTTACTCTGCTCAATAGTCTCTACCGGAGTACTTAAACTTCTTTGATAGTGACAGCGTTGAACAGTACAAGCCTACCATACTACAAGCTTACAATACTGCATTCGTCAGTCATTTTTCCGTTTACATATCAGTATCGACTGGACCTTGCAGAACCTACACGATTATCCATTATGGATGATCAAGGCAGTCAAGGATTGCATTGAATGGTGAGACCCTGACGCAAAAAGCATAAATCAATCCATTAACCATAATTAGCTCTACTGAAGTGATGAGGCAGCTCACCACAAGGATGCGCAACCTGCCACCATTTGCGTGATTGGCCATAGACAACAACTATCACATTCGATCGATACGCTTGATGCAGGGTAGGCCTTACAGTCGGCATAGATCATGGATCAAGAAACAAACCTACATACAAGTTTGACGTCACGCTACGTGTACTTGTGGTCACCGTGACACGTCAACCATGTAAATGTCTACGGACAGTAGACGACAGGACCAACATTGTACACCTCGGTTTCAAGGAAAGATCAAGAGATGGTCATCACATTTCGACGCCAACGGGAATATCCGAAAAGGTGTTCTGGTATTTGCACATCCTAATGTACTCCTGGGTTCAGTATACCTAGCAACATGACGAACAATAGGTAGTGCGTCGAGGGGGATCAGTGTTGTGTCATGACAAGAAAAGATGAACCCATCGAGATAACGCAAATTTACCCATTCACTATGGTGGGTGGACCTTAGGAAGAACAGCAAGTGTTTTAGTTCAGCCTATGAACATTTTTATGAGCAGGCAAAAATCCCTAGTGGCAGAGCAGCAGTTTGGTGAGGGTTATTTCAGGGGACAGAAAGTCTCCTTCATGGATTGAGGCCGAAAAGCTCTGAGACTAAGGTCTGACGGGTGTTAGCAGATCACAAGAATCTGATCCTGATGGGTAAGTTCACTTGCACTTTATTCTTCTCTATAGCCATAACTTCAATTTAAACCCAAGCATTACGATTTCAATCCTGGTCTTATGTCCTTGGATAGACTTCTCCTTGCCTTAATACTCTGATTGTATACTAACAGTACTAGGGAAAGTCGGCACTAGCCCACCGAGGATAGTAATATCCGCGGAAGAGAATTTTCATGGGTCCGAAGGCACAGAAGTCCTCCAGGGCACTCTTACTTCCTCGTGCAATGCACATGGCCTATGGAGTAAGGCGCGCTTCGATATTCACACGGATAAAAGGTCCACCGCTGTGGTAGCAACAGCGAAAACCACAGCTAAGTAACCTCTTTTTTTTTTCATCGTTTCTCTCCCATACACACGGAGAGAGAGAAGATTTGTATAGAATGCGGAAAGCTTTGGAGTCGTCCTGTCATTGGAGAATAACCGGAGATGTGTATGGAATACCCCTAGCTTATCCTGTGTCGAATATTCCCAAGTCGGGAGGGCTACATCGCTCGGACTAGAAGTCGAATTCATATACGATTGGGTCATATTGCACTGTTAGGGGCCAGGACAGGACTGCCTTGCACTGCACATACAGTCTGGCCAGCTTTTCATAAAGTCTAAACAATCACCTCGCGTGGCCAATATTCACAGAGACCGGCCATCCTTGCTGGCACGTACGACGAAGAAAATCACCCTCATGACTCCGATTATCTTGAGTTATCGCCATCTCTATTCCTTAACTACTAGGACGTGGACGGCCAAAGGAAGTGCATACAGGCCTAGCTTCCCTCCCTAACCTCATGGCGCGGGAGGTTGGCAAGATGTACGTTGGGAGCTGTTGGGCGCCCACATGGCTCAAGTACACTGTGATCCAGCACTCGACCTCAAGTTACGAAGATAGTTATCATTGAAGTTCTACCATGGGTTTTCATGGAGATTAAATCACCGAAAATCTGCGCAGCCAGGTGTAAAGGCCGAAGTTGTATACCTAGTTCGAAAGTTCTATCAGCAAAGCCAGCTTCTCTGCTAGGTACGGCGACTACGCCTTCCAACGCGTCTCGGGCCTGGACCTCGCCACCATACAATTCAGACGCGAGATCGCACACTTTGCATTTGTTCAAGGTCGTGTATCATTTAAGCCAAAAGGTGAATATTTGCCACACCTGCGAGCGTCTGCAGAAAAGTCTCAAAGCCGTATTAAATCCTTAATGCTTGAGATCTTCCGGACGTTCGATGCGCTTGAGCTGTGGTCAACATAGTGTCCATTAGGTGCCGGTAGACACACTCGCATATGATAGACAGTCAGTGAGCGCCTCTACATGGTACTCCACAGTCCATCGGACCCACTGAAGGGTACTGTATCTGGTATAGAAGTTGGAGCAACGCGTGTGGGAATCGGCTATTTTCACGGAAGACGGTGTTTCCCGCAGGTGCAATGGCCACGACGATACACGAGCCTGTTTACGTTTGGTACTGACGCGATATACTGATCATTCAGCGGAGTCCCGGCTCATCAGGAATCAAACCGGCCGTTAGTCAACCGCGAATAACACGATGGCCATCGTCCGAGCCTATCGGCAAGGGCAAGGGACCGCGAAACTGCCTATATCTGAGCTTCCGCCTTTACGGTTCCTGTTCCTCCCGTCGAAGAATCAGACTCTTTGTGGAGTGATTCCCGGATACATTGCTGTGTCAAGCTGAAGGCCGCGTCACAGATACAAAAGTCGCGTGCCCAACTGATGTTCTATGTGTTTGTGGCATGATACCTGCGCCATAAGACCATATACTTGGATGTTCCAATGCACAGAATCGTCAGCGATGGCATAGATTACATCTTTCTTAAGGTTGTTCCCACCTATTCTGGCAACACTAGGGGAAAAACCAACATTTACGAAAAGACAGTTGCTGTGTAAGGTATGGCTTTTCTATGGCAGAGTTCTATTTTGCGGACAGTAACGAAGGCGTTACTTTCATACGAGCATCGATCGTGAAGAACACACCACAGTCAACTTGCCCGATTGGTACGAGGCAGTCAGATCCGAAGTCTTCAAAGCAAAAGTTTCTCCCTTGGTCTTGTTTTGGTTTTGTCTTCCTTTTCTTTTATGTCATTCCAAAAAGAAAATGGTATTCTTAGAGCTGTATGCTAACTAGGGCTATTATGTTTCTATCTGCTCGGCCAAAGTACAATCATTAGAAGAAGGAGGCAATCTCAAGAACCTCTCTGCTGACATTGGGACGGCGATAGCCAAATCTCGCGCCCAATCCCTGGGGGTTGAGAAGCGGATAGTCTACTTTAAGGGAGCCATGAATTGTAAGTCTTATATCGATGCACGAAGGCTAAAGCTAACTAGGCCGTTAGGATATTTTACTACCCCCGCCAATCCGTGAAATCTTGTACTCAAAATCACGGTCCCTGTTTCCCAATTTCGATGCGTCGAGCGCTCTAACCATTGACATGGGGTTATTGGAAGCTGTTCACCCAACGGCTCTACACTACAAACGCCCCATAAATTACTTTTCGGTGTTGACTTCAGACAACCGTGGAACCTGCTCCGCCGTCTTATAAACAAACAGGACTTTAGCATCTGGCTCGAGGCTGAGGAAACTATGAAGTACGCCACGGTCAAGATGAAACGTATTTATGACCGCCATCACAAACCTATCGAATTTAACGTTGAGGATAAGGTATATCTATGAATGCACCGTGGATATAGTATACCAACAAATCACAAGACACCAGCTAAGCTTCAGAGCCAATACGCTAGGCCAGCGCTCTATTTGCTGTTATTCAGTCAGCAAAGGCGTCACAGTCATCAACTGCCCCAAGGCTTTACTATCTACTACAGTCATGCGAGTGCCGTTGCTTGTTAATAAGACTAGCCTTATATAGGCAACAGAAGGCCACAGTGTACTGGATCTATTTCTTGGGCGGTGGCATGGGCTGCTACATATGATAGCATGTCAGATACGTAAAGATTACCGCGCTGATCCTCGTGCAAGTGAGGCCATTAACGCCCTGCAGTCAGATCCTAGTGCTAATCTGCCATATTGCATGTAAGATGGGTTGCTCTTTATGATCAAACATGTCGCCCATGAATTGATGGCCGTACTGAAGTATGTGATGGCAATGCTACCGCCGTGGACGACTGCCATTATACAGTTGTTGAAGAACTGTGAATCTACGTACCTCGACCAAGGATACCAGATATCTTTCGAACCATACATAACAAAAAGCATTACTGAAGGCAGCAGAGATATGGTCCTGGGTTACATGGTTTAGTAATCTTCAAGGGTCAAACCTTACTTCGTGACTATGGCTTGACTCAATGCCGAACCTGCCTTGAAACAAAGTTGGCAAGCACATGGCATCCTCATGGATTGCTATGAGGTTCATAGTTAAGCTCCTCGTTGTGAATTAGACTGATTAAGGTCGATGCACCAGGACATCACTCGTCTCCGGTAAGCTAGCACTATGGAAGTGTATCTTAATATAACTAACTTCGGTAAAAGCTGCCCGGATGGCCAAGATTACCTGGCCCTGGCACCACTGCAGAACAACCCGACCCCGGTTGGCCCAGAGAGATCGCAATGTTCCAACTTAGAAGGCCGAGCAACAATAAACCCAATCTTATCCTCCATTTAACATTCGTCATGGTAATACGCTGCTACATATGGTAGCGTGTCCTGACTCTTGCTCTAACGTTCTGATGGTCTATCGGGCCCCTAAAGCACTCCATTCACAATACCCTTATCATCCAATTCAAATCGCCACTATGCGAAAATTCAGATGAAATATATGTCACCGATCCTGCGTTTGCTGCAGCAACATCACGGGCTTCTGGGAAATATCATGGAATTCGGCGATACGGTTTCCCTTGATGCTCTACAAGTCGATAGTGCTACCTATAGTATTTGGTCTGGATAGCCTTAACATAAAGCATGTTGGCCAGGTAGCGGTGTACATGCAGGACAATAAGGTTATATATGGGTTTATGTCCACATATAGCGAAACGATCCTTCTGCGACAGGTGCGCGACCCCGTTATGGGTTAGCTTTTGCGCGTGTCTGAACCATAGGCTCCAGGCTCCCGCAACAAAACTGCAACATGAATAGCACCAATGAACTTGAGGAGCTGGCTACTATGACTTGCGGGAAGTCAAGTGTTTTCCATCAAAAGTACTTTGTTGAATATAGGGAGGAATGACAAGTGATTGCATCAGCTGTTAGAGCTGCCATCACGACTGCTGGATTTACTCGCAATGTTCCAGCTTTATCGTGGCGAGCTTAGGAATCGACTTGGTTACCGTTGAGTTCTTGATCCCCAGGTTAACCAATCCCGATACCTGATCCCACGTACGTGGTGGGATGTGATTATTTTTGGATGGGACAAATGTGCGAAGATCGCGTACCATACCACTGAGTGACACACTCAATATCAGCTACCGCAGGCAAACGTCCTGACAAAACCAGTCAGTGCTCTGTACTATATGAGCTGTGGCATGGCATCAGTGGTTCAAGAGAGGTGCCCTAAGGGGTGCGCACCAGCGTACGAGGGCTATCTACTCCTCTTACCTATATCCTATCTTGACCTTCAAAACACATTCCTCTTGGCTATACCAGCTTACACTATCAAACCGGCTAAATACGCCATGCAACCAGAACTTGAGAGTATCATCCAGACCATGGAGAATGACATGCAACACGCAGAGACGCACGCCGGCGCAGATAGCGATGACCTTGCCCGAGACCGAAAGGGATTGGAAATTGTCCGCTGGGCAATATAAGATGAAGAACCAATCCCTGTGGATGAACTTGAAATTGCATTCCGCGTCTAAAGTCACCTATAAGCAGTTTCTCCTCTTCAGGACCATTCTCCTGGAGGATAATCTTATCAGTCCAAAGCCGAGATGATTGATTTGGATTTAGCGTCAACCAACTTGGATCCTATGGAAAGCGAATATAGCAATCCGATTGACATGATGAGCATTCGGGCAATGAGCATCTGAAGTGGCCTGAGATTGAATATGTACATGCTACCTAGGAAAGTCTGGGGCAACGCCCTCTACCTCCCAGCATCAGAGTGTTTATGCATGTTCGCTTGGTAACCCTACCCATCATCCGGGAAAAATTTCCGCCTCCTCGAACTCGGTCAGCAGATGTGGGCTGCCATTGAGAAACTTCGGACAACCCAGGTAAGAAATAACATGGAGTATGATATATCACTTGAATGAGGCTAACACAGAACACAGAGTAACATCATGGCAGCTGCCTTTTCCATAATCCCTGCCTCCTCTCCCCCAATGGTCATCCGAGGCAAGGAGTCTGCTCTCACTGTTG